TATTTATTTGACAGAGAGAGACACAGCGAGAGAGGGAACGCAAGCAGGGGGAGTGGGAGAGGGAGAAGCAGGCTTCCCGCTGAGCAGGGAGCCCAGTGTGGGGCTCGATGCTGGGACCCTGGGATCATGACCTGAGCCGAAGGCAGACGCTTAACGACCGAGCCACCCAGGCACCCCTAGGATATTTTTGAGCCTTTTTTTTTTTTTAATTGATTAAAACATAAAGCTACCTTGTGGTGGAAGAGAATTCCTGTTTTTTTTCATTAATCACTGATTTCATCCCACCAGATTTCCAATCTGTAGAGTTTTAAGCTTCTAAAGCAATATCCAGTGTAAGCCTTGAAAAATTACATAAAGAAATTCTAAGGCTTTAGCAAGGGGCCCTGGCTGGAATAACAGCACCTCCTCCAGAACAGCAGCTGTTCGTGAATTTCCATCCATGTGTCATTGCCAGGAGATGCTCTCATTCTCTTTGTGATCATACCAACACATGTAATTTGTGACATAGTGTTCATTAGCAACAGATAAACAGATATTAATTCTTTTCCTCTTTTGACTCTCCATTTTCTGGAATGTTCATAAAAAATAAAAAAGCGTTTCACATACATTTTGTGGAATCTAAGATTCAGAAATTTCCTTGACTTCTTAGTGGACTCATGATATTAGGTATCTCAGCTTGATAATAGCTAGGTATGGGGAAAGGTTTAAAATAAAAATTTGACTCCTCCATTTTGATTTTGTTCAATGGCCAGCCAATGATGGTTTTGATAAGCAGAAAGAGAAAGAAAAAAATGCTTCGAGTTTGCAATACAATGTAAAATAATGTTTTTATAGGTTTTGCTTGATTTGCTGTCTAAAAATCAGTTTGTTTTTTTTTAAGATTTTATTTATTTATTTATTTGACAGAGAGAGAGAGAGAGACAGATAGTGAGAGCAGGAACACAAGCGGGGGCGTGGGAGAGGGAGAAGCAAGCTTCCTGCTGAGCATGAAGCCCAATGCGGGGCTCGATCCCACCACCCTGAGATCATGACCTGAGCTGAAGGCAGACGCTTAACGACTGAGCCACCCAGGCGCCCCTAGAAATCAGTTTTAATCAAAGGATTCACTTAAATATTTTTAGAGGCCGATGAACCCAATTAAGCAGCATCATATAGCAGAGGGATTATAGTGTGGTGGTTAAGGAAATGGACATAGTCCATAGGAAGTAGTAAGTCAAACAAAATTGCATTCTCCTGGAGTTAGATGCCCCTTACACTGGTCCTTTAGTGCTCTAAAGCAGGACTGTAAAAACACTGTTTGGTGTTTTTTTGTTTTTTGTTTTTTTGCATTATCTCCAGGTTCAGAATCATTTTCCTTAGTAAGAATGAACTATAAAAGTATTTCAGGAATTATTTTCCACAGCTCCATAAGACCACCTGCAGAAACGTTCAGACCACTCTTGCTAAAGGCTTCGTGAAGAATCACCTCTCTCTTTAGCCAAGGGTAAAAGTCAATATTGATTGAATGGGAACATAGAATTTATGCAACACTATTCATATTTACAGTTGTTCACTTGTTATTTGAAATACTGTATGTATTTTACACTGATGCTGATACCCATATGCTTTTTTAAAAAGCCGCTGAATTATGAAGAAAACAACCAAGTGATCCTGGAAATTGGAGCAAACAATGAAGTTCCGTTTGCTAGAGATGTTGCACTCAGAATGGCAACCATGAACCGAGCCTTGGTCACAGTTCATGTGAGGGATCAGGATGAAGGGCCTGAATGCAGCCCTGCAGCTCAATATGTGCGGATTAAAGAAAACTCAGCAGTGGGGTCAAAGGTCAATGGCTATAAGGCGTATGACCCTGAAACTAGAAGTAGCAATGGCTTAAGGTACAAAGAAGTCTGTAACCACATACGAATAATGTATTTGTAATAATTGAGATAGTAACTTATTTTAATACATTTTATATTGCTGAAGACTTTTTATTTTACATTAATAGGTACAAAAAATGGCATGATCCTAAAGGATGGATCACCATTGATGAGATTTCGGGGTCAATCACAACCTCCAAAATCCTGGACCGGGAGACCATGACTCCCAGAAATGGCTTATATAATATTACAGTCCTGGCAATAGACCAAGGTAAAAAAAAAAAGTTTTAATATGGTATTTTAGAAAGGAATTAGAGAATAAACTGCTATTATTATTGTGCAGAATTTTTGTGATAAGTATTTGGAATTGTTAGAAATTACTTTGAAGACTGTTCCTGTTTCTTTTAATCATCTAACAAGGTGAACCTTGTAAGGTAAGCCATGTCTTATTTATCTTTATATCCCCAGCATAGCGAGACCTCAAATGCTTATGGATCCATGTGTTGGAGGGCAAAGACAAAACTTAAGTCTAGGATCAGATGAAATGGCCTCACTAGACTCTTGTATATCTCTTTATGCCACTTTAAATAGAATCTTTGAGAAACTCAGTTGATTATTAGGTCAAAGTGATCCTTTCCTTGAATTCTGTTCCTTAAAACAACCCAGAGGTTCTCAACCTCAGCTTCATACTAGAATATTAGAATAATTCATAATTAGAATAATATTCTAATTCAATTAGAATAATAGTAATTCACTTGGGGCACTTAAAAAAATCATTTTGTAGACATGACTTTGACACGCTGAATCAGAATCCTGGGTTGGGGAACCTGAACATCATATCTTAAAAATCTCCCTAAGTGGCTTAAATGTGTATCAGGATTAGAATAACTTTTTGTACCCTTTTTACTGTTCAGTAACATCTGTACCAGAAGAAACCCGCCCTGAAACACAGAGTTTGCAATTCACACATTGATTTTTATTGTTTGGTAATAATCCTGACATAAGGTTTATTGGCAGTTCTGGCTAATATTATCAATGGTGGTACTGATTTTAGATGATCTGTAGGTTTCATGTATCCTTCTACATTCTTATGTCCCATTTTCTGTAATAATCAGCTTATTTAAGAAAACATATATGTAGAATGTAGTTAATTTGTTTTATTAGGAAACTATAAAAGAAGGCAAGAAACTACACTAAACCTTTTCTCTTTCTTCCTAGATGGTAGATCGTGTACTGGAACACTCGCAATTAACATTGAAGATACGAATGATAACCCACCAGAAATACTTCAAAGTAATATAATAGTTTGCAAACCAAAGATGAAGTATACTGACATCTCAGCTGTCGATCCTGATGAACCTGTCCATGGTGCTCCATTTTATTTCAGCTTGGCAAACACTTCTCCAGAAACGAACAGAATGTGGATCCTCACCAAAGTTAATGGTATTTATTGATTTATTTTTAAAGATTTGTTTATTTATTTGAGAGAGAGGGAGGAGAGTGTGAGAGAGCATGTGAGCAAGTGGGTGGAGGGGCAGAGGGAGAGAATCTTCAAGCAGACCCATGAGATCATGACCTGAACCGAACCCAGGTGTCTTTTGGACACTTAACTGACTGAGCCACCCAGGCACCCCAAAAATATTTAATAAAAAATAATGATTTATATGTTCTAAAATAACTGAGAATGGATTTTCTTGTTTACTATAATATTCTCATTAATATATTTGAGAAGACTAACTCAGACTTTTACAAATATTATAGGAGGTCTGTGTTATATATTGCCTATAAAATGCAAGAAATCATAATTTTTATGAAGGCAAAATTTGTATTTCCAACAGAGACAAAAAAGCTTTATTAAAATATTGGGCAGCTTATCATTAAGAAAAATTGTTTTTGGTGTATTTTTTTTGAGGGAGAGGGAGGGTGGGGGAAGGATAGAGGGAGAGAGAATCTTAAAGCAGGCTCCACGCTGCGCATGGAGCCCAATGCAGGCCTCAATGTCATGACCCTGGGATCGTGACCTGAGCCGAAACCAAGAGTCGGACGCTCAACCGACTGAGCCACCGAGGCGCCTCTGGTGTATTTTTAAAGTGACTCCAGTGAGGTGAGGACAGAGCAGAGATGGGCAGTTTAAATTTTAGTGTAAGTAAACTCTGAAATGAGGAATCTGGGTGTGTGAGACAAGCACTCTATAGTATTCTGGAAAGCAACATGGTGGGATTGGACAGAGGCATGGCGTTGGAGCCCTCAAAACAGCTTCCTATGATAGTGGTTTCTGGGGGAGTGTAGTATTCTATATTTCAGGCACCCTTCCCATTTCATAGTTCGATATTAATTCATGATACCTGTGGAGCACCTGCCGTCTACCGTGCACTGTTCTGACCCTGCAGATACGTGTAGAGTTAACAAGACAGACATGACTCCAGTTCAGATGCTCACATCTATGAAATCTTTCTTGAAGTCGAAGGAGTAGCATCATGACCTTTTCTACCTGTATTATAGCTCCTTTCATGTTGTATTATTATCTGTTTACCTTTCTCCTCCAATACATGAGTTTCTCAGGATATTTGTGATTAATCTGTGTATTTCCAGCATGTAACCCAGTGCTTAGTAGATATTAACAGCTTAATAAGTGTTTGTTTAATCAATAATTGGTTAATAAATATGCACAAAGAAGGAAAATGCTGGGGGGAATAAGTAAACCAGTGTTGTTAGAGTTTAGGTTTTAGCAGGAATGCTGAGAGATTGGGTGGGAGGATGGATGGACTCTGGCCGTGAAGAGCCTATGTACCAGGCTGGGGAGACTGACTTTTTGTACAGCAGGTGTGCTCTGGGAGTGGGCCGGGAAGGAATGCTGTGCCCAGATTTATGTCTTAACAAGGTGACACTGGGGACAGGACAGTTTGAAGAGGGCAGAGTGGAATGGCAAGGACGTCACAAGCTGTTGCACTAGTATGAATAAACGAGATGTGACTACAGCTGAGCTTGTGGTCTTGAGGGAGGAGAGGAATTTGAAGGATTTTATCTTAGCCACAGTATGATCTGGGAGGGTTCCACCTAACCCTTCGTAGTAATTCACATTCCTCTGGGGAGCTTTACATTTGAGGTGCAGCCAAAAATCTTTGAAGTTCTTATCAGCTGTCACAGTGCATTTAAGAAAGGCTTACAAGTTACAGATGACTTCGAGGATGTGCATGGTGCTACTGTATCATTTCGCTTATTGCAAAACTCCGACTGTTGTAATTGGCTTTGAAAGTGTGTAGAGTTTTTGGTCACTTGATAATGAAGTCATTAAAGTAGGTATCGAGGCTATTGGGGAGATATCATAGTTGATAAAAATGTATTGTTATGTTACAGATACATCTGTTTTTATGTAAGCCTTATACCTAGCCTGGGTGACGTTAATTAGCTTTCTGGTATTGAGATCACTTCTAGAGGGAAGGCATAATAACGAAGGGTCTGTTGTACTTTGGAGGATTACCTTATGTGTAAAGATAATGGACAGGTACCAGAAAGTAAATGGACAAGAGAATGTCAACTTAAGACGTACTTTGTGCATAGCAATAGTTGTTAATTCTTTATGAGTACCATAAACTGGTACTATAGAAAAATGCTTGAGGTGCATATCAGGGGCCCATCTACCATCATTGGTTTGTAGATAAGGGAAAGATAAGGTTATATTCAGTATTGCTGAATTGCTACTGGATCACTCCAATGTCAAATTATGTCTTTCAGCCGCTTGTAAAAAGTTACAATGGGTATACATAGTAATATTAGTGCTGAGAAATGTGGAAGGTAGTTCTCCATTTTAACACATTTTCATGTGGCAGGTGGTTCCTTGAGGATAATATGTTTAGAAACAAAGGTGGCAAAACAAATGCTAAGGGAGAAATAAATGTCCATTAAAGATATAATTCTTTCATTTTCTTTCAGATACAGCTGCCCGTCTTTCATATCAGAAAAATGCTGAATTTCAGGAATATAGTGTTCCTATTACTGTAAAAGATAGAGAAGGTCAATCTGCAACAAAAACCCTGAGAGTTAATCTGTGTGATTGTACTCATCCAAGTCAATGTGTGGCAGCTCGAAGGAGTGCAGGAGTAATACTTGGAAAATGGGCGATCCTGGCCATCCTACTGGGTATAGCACTACTGTTTTGTAAGTCCTTTTACTTGCTTAAAGTTAAAATGTATCATAAATACCTGAGTGCAGGAAAAGGTCTTTTTTTTTTTTAAAGATTTATTTATTTGAGAGAGCGAGAGAGAGAGAGAGAGAGAGAGAGAGTACATGACGGGGGGAGGATCAGAGGGAGAAGCAGACTCCCCGCCGAGCAGGGAGCCCGATGCAGGACTCGATCCCAGGACTCCAGGATCATGACCAGAGCCGAAGGCAGTCGCTTAACCAACTGAGCCACCCAGGCACCCCAGGAAAAGGTCTTTAAAAAGTAATCTTGTCCAACTATCCATCAGGGGTGGGCAGTTTACAAATTGCTTTTGTGTTATATCTGAGTTCTGATGGACTATTTTCAGGGAGAGGGAGCAAGATCCTTTTTGAAATACGATTTCCTATTTGGACAGAGCTGTTTAAAATTCCTTAGACGGTACCAAATCTGTCAACATACAGTTTTCATTTCTTGGTCCTAGTACTACCCCGTGTCGGGCTAAATAAAACAATCTAAACTTTCTGCCATAGGAAGGTCCACGACAAGCCACTGTGGTCTCATCTCATCATTTTGCCACGGCCTTATGGGAATGACTCGGATCACAGCAATATCTCTTCTTGGGTGTATCTTGCTAGTTTTGATTTTTTTAACCTCTTCCTTGCCCGTTGTATAGTTCCCAATGGCATCATATTTTTCCCTCTTTTTATTTCCATCCGCTCCTCCAGCCTGGATTAGCCCCTGTTTCTTTGTTCTGTGATAGGACTAGCTGTTAAGAGCAAGACTCTGGAACCAAACTCTCTGGGTTTGTGACCCAGCTCTATCATTTGCAAGCCATGTGACCGGCAGGGCTGGGGTGGGGGGTGGGGCGCGAGTTCCTTAACTGTGCTTCAGTTTCCTCATCTGTGAAAGGGGATAATTGGGGTGGCCTGCTTTATGGGGCAGCACTGAGCATTAATTGAGCTAATGCACGTGAAGAGCTTAGAATAGTACAGTGTTCAATATTTTTCAGCAACTCCACAAAATAAAAAATCTATTGAAGACCTACGATATGCCAGAAACTGTCTAGGTGCTTGGGAGTCATCAGTGGACAAAAGAGACCAAACCAAACACAAACACTGTGCCTTGTGACAGTAAACTAATAAATAAACGAAATGCTGTGGAGGAAAAAATAGAGCAAAATAATTAGGAGCTGTAGTCCTGTGGAGCGTGTGTGGGTGATCGTGGGGGCTTGGGGTGAGTGACTACAGATTTGGTGGATGGTTTGGTCGGGGCTAACTTGACAAGGTTATCTTTTTTTTTTGTCTGAAAATGTCCCTTTTCTACTTTTTTAAAAAAAGTTTTTATTTATTTATTTTTTTATTATGTTCAGTTAGCCAACATACGAGGTTATCTTTGATGATTTTTGGGAAAGTTGAAAGAGTCAGCCAAGTATAGTACCTGGGGGAGAGGTTTTCAGTCTAGGGGAAAGTCAGCTCATAGACCCTTAGGTGAGAGGGTGCCTGGAGAAGTCAAGGCATGGCAGGGACACCGGTGTGGCTGGAGTGGAGTGCATCAGGAGAGCGGGGTTGGACATGGAACCAGAAAGGTAACAAGGGGGCCACATAGAGTGGGCGGGCATTGGCACCCTTTTCCTATAAAGGGCTAGATAGAATATATTTTACATTTTGCAGGCCATGTGGTTTCACTTAGAACCAACGAAATCTACCCTTCTAATAGGAAAGCAGCCATAGAAAATATTTCAGTGATGGGCATGGCTGGGTTCCAATAGAACTTTATGGACGTTAACATTTGAATTTCATATAATTTTCATGTGTAGTGAACTTCTATTCTTTTAATCTCTAAAAACCATTTAAAGACCACAGCTCATAGGCCATACAAAAACATGTGGTGGGCTGGATTTGGGGCTGCAGTTGGGCCACCCTTTATTAGAGGGGTTTGTAGAGCATTGTAAGAACTGTCGTTTTTATTACAGCTGATTTTATTATCACATATTTCAACTTCCCACAGGTGTGACGTAGAATGAAAATTCTGAACAGACCAAATACAGAATAGTTTTAATTAAGATACTTGGAGATAAATCTGTTCTGGGGAGAAAAATCTGTCGTGTTTTCATATAGGCAAACCATTCTTTTAGCAATCAGTAAATCTCTTTAAGGTCTCTGTCTTAAATAAATGTCACTGAAATTTTTGAAAATTTATTATTTAACTCACAATTGTAAATACTTGAACATTATGGGTAGAATTCAAACTCTTAAACAGACTTATAATCAAAATATACATATAATTAATTCAGATTTTAAAGTCTAAGCTAAATTATGGCCTATTAATTTAGAAAAGCCAAGGTAATTCACAGGACCATGCCTTAGTGGCTTTGTTTTCCTCCTGTGTACCCAAGGTAATAAAAAATAAAAGATGAGTATTTTATTCTATGTATGTTAAACCTTTTTTTTTTTTTTAATGCAGCTGTATTGCTAACTTTGGTATGTGGAGTTGTTGGTGCCAAAAAAAAAAAAGGTTTTCCTGAAGATTTAGCACAGCAAAACTTGATTATATCAAACACAGAAGCACCTGGAGATGATAAGGTGGTAAGTAATTTTTTAAAATGAGTATTTATCTCTGAGTATCTCCCATAATTTCTTTTACTGATTCTCATGAAGTTGTTTTGTAACTTAAGAGTTAATATTTACATTTTTAGCTTGGTCAGCTTTTGTAGGCGTAAGTATTTTATCTGTCAATATTCAAGTATTTATGTAGGTGGCATTTATTGAACTTCTTAAATCAGATGTGTTGTTTTAATTATCATTCTTCCACTCTCTAGTGTTATGATTTGAAATTTGCTCTTTGATGTTGTGAAATTATTATAATAACAATCTTTTAGCTGCTTTCTACAATGTAGAAATATTTCCAGATAGTATTTTTTTTATCTAACTCTTTGACCATTTATAAGAGGAAAAAAAAACTTACTGAAAGTTTTCAAGATAAACTAAGAAGATATCAAAGAGATATATATATATTTTTTTAAAAAGTGTGTGGGGGAGGGTAGATTACTTGGAAGGCTATTGTCACTGTCTTTCCTTATGTATTTCTTGAGACCACTGAGGTGCTTGCTTAGTACTAGGTGTCTTGTTTGGGGAGATGTCTATTTAAAAAGTTCTTACAGGGCGTGTTCTTCCCTCAAAAAGATTTCAAAGTATTTATGGGAAATTGAATCTCCTTTTATGGGAAAAATAAATAGGAACATACAAATAAACCATTAGCACCAATATGAGAGAGCACTGTTATCATTTAAAGATACTTGTGATACATAAGTCCGTTTGTGCTGTCTGGATCAACTGGCAAGGCTTAGTGAAAGAGGTGCAGATTCCTCTGTAACTTAAAGAATAGGAAGAGTCTGAAAGTTGAGAGATGGAATAGCAAAAGAGGTGGAAAACCGCCTCAAGAATAAAAATGGAGATGATAGGGGCGCCTGAGTGGCTCAGTCGGTTAAGCGTCTGCCCTTTGCCTCAGGTCATGATCTCAGGGTCCTGGAATAGAGTCCCGCGTCGGGCTCCCTGCTCAGTGGGGACCCTGCTTCTCCCTCTCCCTCTACCTGTGCTCTGCCTCTTTGTGCTCGCTCTCTTTCTCTCTGTCAAATGAGTAAATAAAATATTTTTTAAAAAGGAGATGACAAAGTTTAGGGATTATTCAACAAATAGTAAAAAAATTGATTTGAAGTGGAAGAAATGATGTTTTACAATAGAAGTTTGACACTTAATTAGGCTCTTGGGGGGAGAGGATGTAAGAGAGGAGTAGGACATGGGGCTGTTGTATGCCACACTAAGGATTTGGGATTATTTTCTTGGTAAGGAAGAGCAGGTGAAGGTTTTTCTGCACAGAAGTGGCATATTGGGAGCAGCGTGACGCTGAGTCAGTAGGGTGATCAGTGAGAATAGGAAGACGTTAGGGATAGGGAAGATAAAGGATTAAAATCTTTCAATAGTTGAAGCAGTGGATAACTCTGCTAGGATGGATAATGGTCATTGGAAATAGGGATAGTAAATATTTTAAATGTGTAAATGATAAGATTGTTAGCTTTTGAGTAACAAAATAAAAATTGAAATCAAACGACAGAGGCTGTAACCAAGGACAATGACTTTATATCAAGACTTTTCTGTATCTCAGTGTGAAGGCATCTTTCTTACTGACTTTCTCTCTTTAACTACCTCCCATCATCATGGAAAATCATAGCCCACCTGTGCTTGACAGGCCTACACGTGGAACCCTGTAATTATTTCTCCATTCAGAAAATACATTTAATCCCTTAATCGTCCTTGACTCATAGTAAGTTCTTATTTTATATCTGAGAAGGGAATAGTTGAGATGTTCATAATACTTGTTCTTTGCCATTTGATGCTAGAGCTGGTAGCATTAATTGGCTGTCTCACCAAATGTACTCATCCCTATCTTTATCTGTTCTCTGTTAGGAACACTTCTCAAAAGGACTCAGAATTATCAATTTATACCAAAACATAATTTTAGGTATATTTTTACAAAATAGAACGAGATTTCTTAGTGAATGTGTAAGCTCATTTTAGTATAATGAGTACAGGTGATGACTTCAGTTCTGGAGCTAAGTTTAAGTCAAAGGCATTCAGGGTGGGGTTAGGAGCTGGTTGAAGAGTCAGGACTGGAGAAGTTAAATCTGGGAATCATTGACATGGAAAAGGAGTCGTTGATACCCCATGAGAATAAACTTTGGGCAACGCACGTAGAGATGGTCAGGAAGGAATAGAGAATAGAGAGAATGTGAAACGGCACTGTGGGCTTCGCCTTGGTTTTAGTTTAGTTTTAATTCTGGGATTAGCTTGCATGATCTCTGAACATGTATTTATAATGACAGAAATTACACCATCAAAGAGATTTGATAATGAGGGTTTTTTTTTTTTTTTTTTAATGGAATTTCACTGTAGCAGCAACCTAAGCAAAAAATATAGGGTAGCAGTGCCACCAAATGGCTACTTCTCACTTCTCTTTTCCGGTATAATTTTCTAAGGCAATGAGATACCGTGTATGACATTTATAGATACATTTCAGATTCTGAAATATCCGAAACTCTAAATCATCTGAACCTGAAAATCGTCCAGTTTAGTTAGAGACTCTGCATATTAAATAGAAGAAAAACAAATGGGTAGGAAGATGGCACAATGGAGCCTGATTTTACTGGAGGTCTTGTCTGAGAGTCACAGTTCATAATTAGATCTGCCATGCTTGAGGTTACTGCTCGAACTGAACTTCTCACGGGCGGCCCAGAGTTCCGTGTGAGGTGCCCACACTAAGTCGATGCTTAGTCAGGTCTTTTTTATCTTCAAACATTCCCTCGACTCTGCTTTCCTCTAGTTCCCTTCTGATCTCTTTTTCTTTGAAACTGAGCTTTTTGAGAGATTTATACTGGATTTCTCCATGATATTACTTCCTGTTCATTCAGCATTTCTTGGAAATTCTTTTGACAAAGACGACCAGTGGCCACTTTTTTTGCTTGAATCTAATAGGTGGATTACTTTATTTGAACCAGTTCTTAAACTACTTGGATGCTTTTCTCCTTACCATAATCCTCTCTGCGTGGCTTCAGATTTGTGCCTCTTGGATTCCTCTCTTCTCCAATAGCTATTTCAGATCAGTTCTGTCCTCTAATTCCCTTAGTCACCCCTTAAAACGTGTTTTTTCTTGTGGTTCTATTCTTAGCCTTCTTTTCGTTTAGTCTACCATTTTCTCTGGGTGTTACAATTTATTCCCGTGGCTTCTACTACCTCCTATATGGTGGTGACCTCTGGAATCGTAGCTCCAGCTCGGCTCCCCCACCTGAACTCCAGACCCACCTATTCATATACTCACTTTGGACATCCATAGGTTTCTCAAATTTACCATGCCCAAAACTGAACTGTTCACTCTCCTCTCACCCACGAGTGTGTCCTTCATCCCTACTTCAGTGAATTATACCATTTATCTAGTTGTGCAAGCAGAGCACCTAGGAATAATTCCTGACTCTTCCCTTTGCTGTTTCATCCATCTGACTACCAGTAAAACTTTGTATGGAGTCCAACCACTTTGAATCATCCTTGCTTCTACTTTGGCTGAGGTCTTCATCATGTCTCACCTAGAAAGATTCAGTGACCTCTCCGATATCCACGACACTCAGCTTGTCTCCTTATTTATCTTTTACATTATTGCCTTGAATGATTTTAAAAAATATGTCTCTTCCCTGTTATTAAAACCCTTCTTTGAGTCCCTATCATCTTCTTGATAGTCTAAATTTTTTAGCATGGCATATGGATCTTTATGTTCTCTGGTCTTTTATAACCTCTCCACTTCCTGTCTCACTTTGAACTCCAAGTGGTAGCCATTCTCAGCAAGTTGAAAGTTGAGGGCCCCCAAAGTACCCCGTTGCCTTTGTGTGTAGGCCTTCCTGCAGATACTGCTTTCTTCTTCCCATTTCTCAAGTAGGAGTCCTTCAGTGCAGTGTTTTCTACTCTATTCCACTTACTCTGTCTGTGCTTGGATTTTAATGCTCTTCCTCTGCGTTCCTATAGCATTCTGTGCTCACCTACGTATACATTCTTAAAGTAATTCTCTATTTTTCTGCCTCACTGGAATAAGAGCTTCTTAGAGCCACTGAGAGATCGTGTCCCTCTTTGTATCCCTACACTGGGCACAGAATCCGAAAATATAAATGTCTGCTAATGAATGGATGAATCAATAAAAGGTTAAATAAACGTTCTCTCTCCCTTGTCTTCTTATGACTTAACTTGGAATCTGTTTCCTCTCAGTACAGATGATCTTATTTTATTTTATTTCAGTGTTCTGGCAATGGGTTTATGACCCAGACAGTCAACTCTGGCCAAGGCTTTTGTGGTACCATGGGATCAGGAGTGAAAAATGGAGGGCAGGAGACCATTGAGATGGTGAAAGGCGGACACCAGACCCTGGAATCATGCCGGGGGACCATGCACCATCACACCCTGGATTCCTGCAGGGGAGGACCCATGGAAGTGGACAACTGCAGATACACCTGCTCCGAGTGGCATAATTTCACTCAGCCCCGTCTTGGTGAAGTGAGTTTCCATGAGTGTTTTGCCTCTGCAATTTAAATGTCCAAGTGTAGAACAATAGGAAATTGAAATTAATGTAGAGTTTCAGAAGCTGCTTTTCCATATTTTTCAATGTACCCTTTCTCTTTCACTCTCTAGTCATTCCCTGCACTCCCCCCAGCCCCCACCCCATGCCCTCTGATCTTGTTACATTATTTAACATAAGAGAGATTTTATTCCATCTGTTATATTTCTTTTAGTTTCTAAAATCTCGTGAGAATTGGAGGTTTTTAATGACCCTGTTAAAGTTACATGCCATTTTTAGATGTTGTTTACCTCATGAGCTATTTTAATAGAGAAGAATGTGGGAAAAAAATCTCATTCCCTTCAATCACAAAACTGCCCCAGTCAAATCTGCATTTTTCTGAAACAAAGCATCTATACACAATTCTAGGGTGAACATTCAATAATATGAGCTATAAGAACTCTATTTAATGTAAGAAGCACCGTTCAAATACAAAGTGTTTTTATTCAGGGGAAAGCAAGGATGTCAAAGAAAAGAGGGATTAAATCATGGATTTTCAGTCCTGGCGGCACATCAGAATCCCCTGGGGAGCTTTTAAATGATAGTAATCCCTGTGCTCCACCTTGAAGAATTTGGGCATAATTGGTTTGGCTTATTATTCTTATTACTACTTTTAAAGCTCCTCAGGGGATTCACATGTGCCACCTGGGTAGAGAGGCACTGGATTAAATATTCTACCTGGTACTGAGTTTTCTGTTTATCAGAGTGTACGGTACTGTTGTAACCCCCAGAGTGGACCAGAAGCCCTTCATCCTTTAATGGACTGCAAATAGGCACCATTCTGTGACACGGCTGTAGCTGATCACGTGTCCATAGCATATTTTTTTTTCCCATCAGATTCAAGTGTTCATCTTTGTTCTGTTTCTAGACAGTGTGCATGTAAGATCAGGTTGAGAAGGCGTGGAGCTTAAGAGGCGTTCTTAGGGGTGTTCATTAACGTGTGCATCAGGGAATGGGATCTGAGGCTGACATGGTCATGAAGAAAGGCATTTGGTGACATAAGCCAAAGAAATAAGCTGTGGGTTAGAGAGGGAGGTGAGGTGAGGTGAGGAGGGAGGAGGCACAGGAGTTTGACAGGTCGGCAGCCAGGCTGGTAACAGCGAGGCGGGGTGTGGCTGAATGCTTGGCCGCTCCATTCCAAAGGCCCAGTTTCTGCAGTGTGGGTGATGTTGATTATTTTTCATCTCACTAAAATGCTTTGTGCATTTCTCTACTTTGTCACGTTTGAGCTATCTTGGGCACTTGCTTCTGAAGTCAGTGTGGTAATTCTTGCCTACTTTATAACTGCATGTAATAGTAGTTTTAGTTCACGTTTATTGAATATTTACTATGTGCTGGGCAAAATAAGAGAATTTTTGGTGCATTATTTTTTCATCATTATCGTGAGATAGTCACTGTATATATTCCCATTTTAGACATAAGGAGAGTTGGAAGTGAGACTTGAAGATGTTTAGTAACCTGCCCAAAGTCATATACGTAGTTGGTGAAGCAAGAGCTTTGACTCAAAATCAGGACTGTTTGAATATCCAATATCAAATTCTTCACCGCCATGCATATTCTCACCATTTTGTGGACTAGCCTGACCTCTAGATATAAAATTAAGCTTTTAAAAATGATAATTTAAATGTACTTAAATATAACATTTGTGTGCATATATATATATATATATATAATTTTTTATTTGTATGGATTACTAGAAATGTAAGATATACTGACTTTGTGGTACGGTTATGATATCGACCAATCATGTGCATTTTTTGTATGTAGGACTCCATTAGAGGACACACTGGTTAAAAATTAAACATAAAAGGTAAATAAAAAATAAATTTTATGTTCATATGTTTAAGAGTGTTTAAAACAATAATACAATCCTTTTTTTTTTATTTTACAGAAATTGCATCTGTGTAACCAGAATGAAGACCACGTGCCATCTCAAGATTATGTCCTTACATACAACTATGAAGGAAGAGGATCTCCAGCTGGTTCTGTAGGTTGCTGCAGTGAAAAACAGGAAGAAGATGGCCTTGACTTTTTAAATAATCTGGGAGCCAAATTTACTACATTAGCAGAGACATGCACAAAGAGATAATGTTAAAGTACTACAATTAGACATGTATTTGCCAGACATTCTGGAAGTTTCCAAAAGGAAAGGGATATTGTAAAGTTCAATTTCAATTTCTAATACATATATGGATATATATTAGAATTTCAATTTCTAATATATTTAAAGATAGATATATAGATATATTTTTAATATATCTATACATTAGAAAAATATACAATTTTTCTAAATTTTGGGAATTGTACTATTCACCAATTTGTATTTGTATAGCAATTTGTTGTTTATGTTTTCCAAGGAGTTGGAAATGTTAAAATGTGTTTTGTCTTCTTTACTGCCAGGTAAATAGACAGCTAGAAAATCTCATGCTATATCATTGGAATTAAGGTCTGTAAAGGACCTGCTATTCTTTATAGATATTTTACCAGTTAATGTGTTGACTTAATATTAGTCCAGTGATAGCTAAGCTGTATTTGATTGAATATAGAATAGCTATCTGGGCTAGAAATTCTGTTCTTGTTCCAGATTTAGATTTAAGTGGATTAGGATTATATCAAACATTGTGTTAAATTATATTGCATTTTTTAGCTCTTTAAAAAATCAGTACCACTGAGTTGGTAGCTCCAAAGACTACTAGAATTTCATTTTCCTTCTGGTTAGCATTTAGATCATGAAGAGCAGTTCTGTCTACTTGATTGCCCTAATAAGGTTTTAAAAAATACATAGCTATGGTCTTAAACTACACGAGGAAAGTGTAGACCAAAAAATTGTGTTGTTTTTATGCTTTTGAATGTGTGCTTTATGGTTTGCAAAAGGATTATTATGAGGACTAAGTTTCCTTATTCTCAAGAAACGGAACTATATTCACTATACAGAGAGTTATTGTTGGTATTTTAATGAAAAATACCAAAGATCTATTGAGATTGTAATCACAAGTCCTGACATCTTTTTCCCTGAGATTCAGGACTACTATTGCTAACTTGCAGTAATGAAAATTATGCTGAGAAAAAGTTGCTTTTCTTCTTTTTAATACTGTACTTGCATATTTTTATTTGTAGGCTTAGCACATAAGGCTTTTTATTTTCTCTCGATAGTAATTATTTGCAATTAGAGTATGTTATTGTGAGATGGATTGTGTCGTGCCACATATTCTGAAGAAACCAGACCCCGTCCTAGTTATGGGTAGCAATGAGGGATGAGTGCGCATTTCCATTCACTACCATTTTCATACAAATTACTCCTTATTAAGGCAGATAAATATTTTAATATGCTGTAAAGAATCAAAAGAACCCCTGGGTGCAATTTAATATCTTCCAAAGCGTTGCTTAAAATTTAGTGCTTCTCACATTTGTTCATGTGATAGAGCCCCTGGAAGGACTTGCAAAATACCCCAAAGCAGTGGTGTTTAAACTTAAAATAATTAACACCTAATCTTATGATAACTCTAATATCACATTATTGTATACTCACTTCAAGTGTTAGTTTAAAAAATAGACAAGAAATTTTAGGTATCACCAGTTGAAGAAAATTTTGGAAGAGAAGACGAAATTAACTTACAAATATCTGCCAGCATCTGCGCTTTATCTCCATTTATCTTGTGCATCCCTTAGCAAGACGTGTCCTAAGGCACCAGAAAAGCCGAGGAGAGGTTAATTTTGGGGTCTGGAAACACTCAGAAATTTTCCATATAAATGAATGGTAGTTGCTTCTTTGCTTTATGCCATTTCGACTTATGGAAGTTTTCATAGGAATGCTATAAGGATAAACACACACACACACATATATATAAATATATGCTTATATACAACTATTAGCCAATGCCATGTTTAAAATAAAATGAAAATCAAAGGGGAAGATGATAATATAAGGCTGGGGCTGTCCTACAATAGGAATCCAGGGTTTTTAAAAAGAGAGAGCCTCTTATACTTAGGTCTTCTGTGCTGCAGAGCTGAGCATATCAGGAAATAGTTCATGTACATTTGTGTAATTTCTTTAAAATTGTATGCAGCTAATTAAACGTCTCTGGTTTCAGGGGAAAGGAGAGCGGAAACTAGGTGGAACAGTAGCTTTGCTTCGCAGTTTCACTCTGCACGCCCAAATGAGGAGCAAAGTGGCAAAGGCTGTTACAGCTAGGGCTGCCTGACTCCCAGTGGTGAGGTTCCAGGGATGAAATGCTTTTCTTGGAGCTAATACTGAAAGCTTTTTTAAACTCAATTCTGGTAAAAGGATTCTATCACCGTTTTCTTTTTCTCTCCTATCTACCGACATTTTTAAAGTTTAGAGCCAATCTAAAACTAATGATGTAATGTATGGGGATTAACATAAGAATAAAAAAAATAAAAAATAAAAAAAAATATGCACAAACAATGAATCATGGAACACTTCATCTAAAACTAATGATGTAATGTATGGGGATTAACATAAGAATAAAAAAAAATAAAGTTTAGAGCCAAATAACCATATTCTGTTGGTCAGATTTCAGGGGCTAAAGGGAGCTGGGGTGGGAGCACAAATCTTACTGAAGGGACTGAGTGCTGCATGACTGTCTTAAGGCTCATCGCCATTTGCTGTGTTCTAATTTAAGCCTGGAAATGATAAAATACCACTTCCCTACTCACTGCCCTGGTTTCAACTGGCATTGGTGTGATTCAAAGAAATCCAGCCCTCCCATCGGTCCCCTTTCTTTAATCTCTCTCCCAATATTGTCAGTAACACTTAGGTGGCAAATGCTCCAGGCTGTCAATCACCTTTTAGTATGAATTAATTTTTATGCGATTGCATTCTTACAAGGATTTTTCAAGTAACAGAAGAAATAGGAATTTTGAATACAGGGAAGAAAAAGACCGAGTAGTCATTTGGAAACACGGGACTTAGGGAGAGTGCAGGCCCAAGTACGGTATTTGGACAGACAGCAACATGAAAATCCAGGCCTTCAAGGGCAAGGAGAGAAGCCAACAAAGGAACAGGAATGGTAGTAAAGACAATATTGTTTGCTACTTAAATTTTCCTAGGCCAGGCTCTCCTTTTCCTTCTTTTCTCGGGCCAATGGCAGCTCCCATTTGATTTTTGTGAAATATCACCAACCCTTTCTCCATGCCTCACCTTATTTGGAGTGTGGAATCAAGGGAAGAGCTGACTGCATCATGCGTCTGCAGGCACTTGCCGGATGGGCCCGAACTGGCTGTGCAGAACAAACAAGGCATTCATGGGGAATACTTTGTTCCTTATGTAGCCGTCTGGGCACTGAGATAGAAGGTCTTCAGTTAAGTGTGTGTCTACATTGTTTACTTGATGCCACATTTCCCGTTTTCTAATTTTCCCCTGAAATCTAGATTTTCAGACTTAGAGTTTTCAAAGGGTTCTTTTCCTTTTTAAGACTTCTTACGTTTAATGTAAACATTTATAACGTGGTATTCTTCTTTCCTTATATGTGTAAGGGGAAAATTATGCTATTTCAGTGTGAAAATAGCTTTCATTTTTTTTCTAGTGAATATTCTTGAATTTTTAATGTAATTGTAGAGATTGTTTTTTCATATTTTTATAAGGAAGCAGTGAACTGTCTAAAATGCAGTGAAGTTTGGTTTGCAGCATTTGTAACAGAACTTTTAGTCTCCTATTAAAAGAAGTTACTTCACTTTTAAAGAAACGTGGCAGGTTAAAATAAGCAAAAATTGTTTGTATAAAGTAATAGTTGCAGATGTAGGATGTAATAAAACTCTTAACTCGATATCTTGTCTTTGCTATATTTAGGGATTAAATGATTCCAAGATGGTCATGTTGTAAAATTGTGCTTAAGACTGGCATGGAAATAGATCCTCAAAAATGTCTTCATTGTATTCCTGGGGAATATTTTAGAGAATGAATCATTACCAGATTGTCAACATCATTTATATATTAAATTATTTGGGGGGAGATCACTGTTTGGGGCACAGCTTTACAAATGGTGTCTATGTATATCTCCATCTGATTGTTATTGGGTAAAGAAGTATTGGAAGGTACTTGTAATTGTAGAGTGTTCCAGAAATAAAATGCTGACATAGCATTCTTACCTGGAGCAGTGTAGTCAAGGGGAAATATTATGAGTTAAAAAAAAAAAAAGAGCAAGAGATAGTCCAATCTTTGTTCTGTCACTTACAGAATATATGACCTTCAAGCTTTGTTCACAACCAAATTATGGTGCTGTGTATTTCACAGTGAATCTTTTCCCTGGGGGGTGTGTGTGTGTGCTTTCCCACAAAGGTAAGGCTGACCATTTCAAAAATGTACTCATTGGGGGCGCCTGGGTGGCTCAGATGGTTAAGC